GGAGGGGGGGAGGGGTCCATCCTCCCGGTGCTGGAGGCCTTGGCGGCCCCCTCCAGTAACGTGCCGTACCCCCTGCTGTCCTGTCAGACGGAGGGGGGGGGGGCGGCGGTTCCGCCTGAACTACGCCATGGGCGTGCGCACGTTGCAGCGGGAGGTGTGCGAGCGGGTGGTGCTCGCGCGGCACGGGGTGCTGGGCGTGCGGCTCATGAAGCTCCTCCTGCGGGACCACCTGCTGGAGGACCGCACGCTGGCCGAGGCCGCCATCGCCCCCCAGCCGCGAACCCGCGAGACCCTCCACGCGATGCTGCGGGATGGGTTTGTGTTTATCCAGGAAGCCCCAAGGGGGGCCCCGCTGTCGGAGCAGCGGCTGGTGAAAAACTCGATTTTCTTGTGGGGAAGCCACTTGGAGCAGGCAATCCTGCCGAACGTGCGGGAGCAAATCGCTAGTGTGCTCCACCACGCCCTCGTGAACCTCCACGAGGTCGCCGGCGAGGCGACGAAGCCCCATGCGTTTGGGAATCACAACGAAGGGACTAGTTCAATGTTAGGAGGGCATTCAATGCTGCACGTTCTCAAAGGGGAACCTCCAACGGCGGGGCCACCAACAAGTTATTCTAATAATGATTCCACTTCAAATAGAGAGGGAAAGGTAAGCGAAGAGACCGTGCGGCAAGTGGTCCAAGCACAGCGTTCGATTATAGGGATGGAAAGCTGCGCGGCGTCGTTGATGCGGCTTCTCCTTCTTGCCGATTACTACTGAAGAAAACAGGTTCCAACTAAAACTAAAAAAAAGTGGCATGATATCCTTACAAAATGTCATAAATATCAATGCTATTTTTAAAAAAATGCATCGAAAGGGATGAATCAAATTTATATTAAAACAACAACAACGTGCTTCTTGACTCTGTAGAAATTTTCTACATGAAAATTAGGACTTGTTTAACTATTATTGTTACTTTGAGTGGTGATGTGGAGAGGGTAAAAAAAAATTATGCTAATGAATGTTCCTTTTTATTCCTTATTCAGAAGCTTTATTGTTATAGGTTTTATTTCTTTTTTCCATATCAACCCTTCCCCCC